GGTGTAACCTATCCACCGCTGCCCACTGGATGGGGGGCGGTGTAACCTATCCACCGCTGCCCACTGGATGGGGGGCGGTTTAACCTATCCACCGCTGCCCACTGGATGGGGGGGCGGTGTAACCTATCCACCGCTGCCTACTGGATGGGGGGCGGTGTCCTATCCACCGCTGCCCATGGATGGGGGGCGGTGTCCATCCACCGCTGCACACGATGGGTATGGGTGTCCATCCACCGCCCACACGATGGGTATGGTGTAACCCCCGCCCACACGATGGGTATGGTGTCCACCACCGCCCACACGATGGGTATGGTGTCCACCACCGCCCACACGATGGGTATGGTGTGCATCACCGCCACACGATGGGTATGGTGTCCATCACCGCCCACACGATGGGTTGTGGTGTCCACCACCGCCCACACGATGGGTATGGTAACTAGTTCATCAAGATTGTAACTTGCTTAGCTAAATGTTGTGGGGTTCAGTCCCACCACCGCCCACACGATGGGGTATGATGGGTATGGTGTCCACCCCCGCCCACACGATGGGTATGGTGTCCACCCCCGCCCACACGATGGGTATGGTGTCCACCGCCCACACGATGGGTATGGTGTCCACCACCGCCCACACGATGGGTATGGTGTCCATCACCGCCCACACGATGGGTATGGTGTCCACCCCCGCCCACACGACGATGGGTATGGTGTCCACCCCCGCCCACACGATGGGTATGGTGTCCACCCCCGCCCACACGATGGGTATGGTGTCCACCCCCGCCCACACGATGGGTATGGTGTCCACCACCGCCCACACGATGGGTATGGTGTCCACCACCGCCCACACGATGGGTATGGTGTCCACCACCGCCCACACGATGGGTATGGTGTCCACCACCGCCCACACGATGGGTATGGTGTCCACCCCCGCCCACACGATGGGTATGGTGTCCACCACCGCCCACACGATGGGTATGGTGTCCACCACCGCCCACACGATGGGTATGGTGTCCACCACCGCCCACACGATGGGTATGGTGTCCACCACCGCCCACACGATGGGTATGGTGTCCACCCCCGCCCACACGATGGGTATGGTGTCCACCACCGCCCACACGATGGGTATGGTGTCTACCACCGCCCACACGATGGGTATGGTGTCTACCACCGCCCACACGATGGGTATAGTGTCCACCACCGCCCACATGATGGGTATGGTGTCCACCACCGCCCACACGATGGGTATGGTGTCTACCACCGCCCACACGATGGGTATGGTGTCCACCACCGCCCACACGATGGGTATGGTGTCCACCACCGCCCACACGATGGGTATGGTGTCTACCACCGCCCACACGATGGGTATGGTGTCTACCACCGCCCACACGATGGGTATGGGGTGCATGGTGTCTACCACCGCCCACACGATGGGTATGGTGTCTGGGTATGGTGTCCACCCGCCCACACGATGGGCATGGTGTCTACCACCGCCCACACGATGGGTATGGTGTCTACCACACGATGCACCGCCCACACGATGGGTATGGTGTCCACCACCGCCCACACGATGGGTATGGTGTCTACCACCGCCCACACGATGGGTATGGTGTCTACCACCGCCCACACGATGGGTATGGTGTCTACCACCGCCCACACGATGGGTATGGTGTCTACCACCGCCCACACGATGGGTATGGTGTCCACCACCGTCCACACGATGGGTATGGTGTCCACCACCGCCCACACGATGGGTATGGTGTCCACCACCGTCCACACGATGGGTATGGTGTCCACCACCGCCCACACGATGGGTATGGTGTCCACCACCGCCCACACGATGGGTATGGTGTCCACCACCGCCCACACGATGGGTATGGTGTCCACCACCGCCCACACGATGGGTATGGTGTCCACCACCGCCCACACGATGGGTATGGTGTCCACCACCGCCCACACGATGGGTATGGTGTCTACCACCGCCCACACGATGGGTATGGTGTCCACCACCGCCCACACGATGGGTATGGTGTCCACCACCGCCCACACGATGGGTATGGTGTCCACCACCGCCCACACGATGGGTATGGTGTCCACCACCGCCCACACGATGGGTATGGTGTCCATCACCGCCCACACGATGGGTATGGTGTCCACCACCGCCCACACGATGGGTATGGTGTCCACCACCGCCCACACGATGGGTATGGTGTCCACCACCGCCCACACGATGGGTATGGTGTCCATCACCGCCCACACGATGGGTATGGTGTCCACCACCGCCCACACGATGGGTATGGGGTGCATATTAAATAAACTAAACTACAACAGTGTTACATTAGTCAAACTGTATTGGGAAACGAAGCAGCGGATTGACTTTGATAATTATGAGATGTAATTGATTGACTTACAAAGAAACTCAATATGGAAGACGAATAATTTGTCGACTTGAGAAAATGCATTAACGCATAAATTTGCAGGAAACGAGGTTCATAGGTAAATTAATTCCATTAAAGACTCAATCAGATTGTCTCAGGCTCACTAGGATTGCACCACTGTTCAAATTAGTTCGTCGTCCCTGGTATGGGCGTTCAGCATGAATTGACGTATGTTAATTTTCTCTTCTCTCGCTAAAAGAAACTAAATTTATCGAAAAAAAACTATTTTTTATCGATTCGACTAGGCTAGTTCCACCCAAGGAGAAAATTGCTTTAGTTTGCCATGTACATTCACGCCGTCTCGTTTTCCTCACAAGTGTTACTGTAAACATTCTTTTTTTTTTTTTTTTTTTTTTTTTTTTTTTTTTTGAGATATATACTTCCGTGAATGTTGCAACCTGTCTTCAGGGAAGAATCGGAGAACCCTTCAACGGAATGGACTGGGAACGACTACATAATTTATGCAATTATCTACTCTATCCATGGTTAGGTTAGGTTAGGTTAGGTTAAGGTTTGGTTGGTTTCATTACGTTTCGTTACGTTAATACAATGTATTATTGACGATAATGTAAAATATGGAATTCGAAAACTGTTTCAGTGTGTCTGTAAATTCCGTTCACTGAAAACTAAATTTGTCAAAGAAAACGTTTTAAGCATTACGTTTTTATATTTTAAACCAATGCTTTATTTTACATTAAAGTTATAACGTGAGAAAATTATATTTACGACAAAGGTTCATTTGCCAGTTTACATGTAGACCATTACTGGAACCTTAATATGCTTTCAGACCATCCCAAATATCTAGATAACTATTCAGATGGTTTGAGAGTGGATGTGGTTTCTCATGGTACTGGCCAAGTCTGAGGACGGGATGAATATATAAACATGCATTTCAAATGAACAAATCCATAAGGGCCGTGACGAGGATTCGAACCTGCGTCCGAGAGCATCCCAGACGCTGCCTTAATCGACTGAGCTACGACATGGTCAAAAGGGAAGCTGTGTAAAATCCTGATTTGTGCCTCGGAGAGGCTGCAGGATCCAGTAAGTTCAGTAGAACTTCGGTTTCAACTCCTTTTGACTATGTCGTAGCTCAGTCAATTAAGGCAGTGTCTGGGATGATCTCGGACGCAGGTTCAAATCCTCGTCACGGCCCTGGTGGATTTGTTCTTTTGATGCATCACGTAATTGTGATTTCTGTGTGTAATGCATTTCAAATATTTGAAGCATTTCTTGTTAGTTTTCTTTAAATACACTTGTGTCCTCCCTTGTTATTTCATTCTCACGTTTCTACTCTCTGGCCTTAATGTGTGTTCCTGGTGGTGGTGGTCGCGTGTGTGTGTATCCCGGGACATGGCGGCTTCTGTGTGATGTCCGACTCTCCGCCTACTGTCTCCTGCCTCTATACCCCAGGCAGGCTCTGTACCTCCCATGCAGCCTGCATGGGAGGTACAGAGCTCCTAAACTTCCTCCTAAATCCTCCTCCATCCTCCTAAACTTTGCCAACGTCAATACAACGGTCAATTTAACGTGGTCTCTCCTAACCTACCAGAGGACCCACAACAGAAAACGGGACAGTACGTCACTTTCGCCAGCCGCTTTCATCTTCTAGTACGACGATTTTTGGCTCTAAGTGAACATCGTGCCCCCCCCCCCTTCCTCCTACTACCCTCGACGGCTTGCTGCCTTCTCGTGATAATTACTTTACTCCCAAACCTCAAAATAGTAAAATACAGCTAGACTTTAAACATCGACTTGAGAATGGTCCAGGACGGACCGAAACGTGGTCGTCCCTTCACCTTCTAGTGTGTGGCCTGGTCAACATACTTTAGCCACGTTATTGTGACTCACCGCCTACAATGCCTAAAACAAGGCTTGCGAAGTACCTGGTAATCAATTATATTGTATAACAATTGTAACGTTATACATGCGTGTTAGTGGCAAGAGTGTACCATTCAATCACCCAAATTGTACTTTCACAACCAATTGTTCCTTCTTTTGAGATATATACAAGAGTTGTTACATTCTTGTAGAGCACTAGTACGCGTAGCGTTTCGGGCAAGTCCTTAATCCTATGGTTCCTGGAATACGATCCCCTGCCGCGAAGAATCGTTTTTTCATCCAAGTACACATTTTACTGTTGCGTTAAACAGAGGCTACAGTTAAGGAATTGCGCCCAGTAAATCCTCCCCGGCCAGGATACGAACCCATGACATAGCGCTCGCGGAACGCCAGGCGAGTGTCTTACCACTACACCACGGAGACTGAAACTTCTTGTACATTTAAACAATTACATTAAAAGTAATGGTGACACGTGTGGCAAAATACGCTTCCTGGGCTGGTGACAAGAGCGACGCCTGGGCTGCTCACTATCGTAGGTGTCTGAGAATAAAGTATATTGAGCACACTTGCACAATGTGAATATGAACCGGTGAAGCGCACAGGACTAGCCAAATGTGCCCTTTCACACCTAATATGCTACGTTCCAGATATTTATTTATTGATATATTTTATATTATTCTGTTTTCTGGTGACTTTGTGTTGACATACTTGTGTGTTGTTGCAGATGATGCGGGCGGCGGTGGTGTGGGCGGCGGTGCTGTGGGCGGCCGGGGTGTGGGCGGCCGTGGAGGGGGCGCCGGAGAAGGCAGCCTCTCGGGGTTACTCCTTAACAACACAGTTCTCACCGGTAATTAACTCAGTAAAGTGATCAATAAGTTGATTGATGTTTGGTTGTGTATGTAAACGATGACAGGAATGTGGAGAGAAATGCATCTTAAATTTATAATACATACTTATAAAATATAATGTAATACTGGTCAAATTTCCACAGTAATTAAATAAAAAATATATATATATATATATATATATATATATATATATATATATATATATATATATATATATATATATATATATATATATTCAAAGGCCTTTTTTGGCATAAGTGACATATTGTTTTTTCTTGTCCCGTGTCAAGAGAGGAGGAGGAGGACACGCCGACGACCACAACCAACCCGTCAGCTACTCCTTCAGGTAACTATTCGTGTACAACTGTTCCTTCAGGTAACTATTCGTGTACAACTGTTCCTTCAGGTAACTATTCGTGTACAACTGTTCCTTCAGGTAACTATTCGTGTACAACTGTTCCTTCAGGTAACTATTGTGTACAACTGTTCCTTCAGGTAACTATTGGTGTACAACTGTTCCTTCAGGTAACTATTTGTGTACAACTGTTCCTTCAGGTAACTATTCGTGTACAACTGTTCCTTCAGGTAACTATTTGTACAACTGTTCCTTCAGGTAACTATTTGTGTACAACTGTTCCTTCAGGTAACTATTTGTGTACAACTGTTCCTTCAGGTAACTATTCGTGTACAACTACTCATAACGTCTTCCTATAATAAGGGAATTTAATATAATTCCGATGGTGCAATGTTGGAGATGTGGTCATAAGAGATAATAATAATAATAATAATAATAATAATAATAATAATAATAATAATAATAATAATAATCTTTTGTCATCCACATTTCTGTGGTAATAAAGCATTCCATTAACCGGGTCTTTTAGGAGACTCGAACCCTGGACCCCACGAGTGTGAGGCCGAAGCTCTATCGACTGAGCTATTGAGTGGTCTTAATTACTTAAGATTCCAGAAGCAACATCACGCTGCCAAGTTGGAATTTCCGACATTCACTGACTACTACTGAAGCTCAGAGGACCCTCCAAACACACACCGAAACTACGACGTTGGTACAACGTTCGAACAAGTTTTATCACCTCCTAACCAGTTGTAACAACCAATATAGCAAGTTGTAACAACGTTCTAATACGTCATAAACACATTAAGCCAAGATGTAACAACTTTATTACAAGTTGTTACAAGCGGAAAATAGAGACAGTTTCGGTTGGTGTTTCCAGGGGAGTTAGTGACCCGCGTCTGATATTCCAGCCTGGGGCCAGATTCACGAAAGGACTTACGCAAGCACTTACGAACGTTTACATCTTTCCTCAATCTTTGACGACTTTGGTTACATTTATTAAACAGTTTACAAGCATGAAAACGTTTCATTTAACTGCTGTTATTGCTATAAACAGCCTCCTGGTGCTTCGGAGGTCATTAACTGTTTAATAATAGTAAACAAAGCCGCCAAAGATTGAGAAAAGATGTACAGGTTCGTAAGTGCTTTCGTGAATCTGGCCCCTGATAGTAGTCAGGGAAAGTAAGAAATTCCAGCTTGGCAGGTGGTCGGCCGAGCGGGTCGGCCGAGCGGACAGCACGCTGGACTTGTGATCCTATGGTCCCGGGTTCGATAACGGGCGTCGGCGAGGAACAATGGGCAGTTTCTTTCACCCTATGCCCCTGTTACCTAGCAGTAAAATAGGTACCTGGGTGTTAGTCAGCTGTCACGGGCTGCTTCCTAGGGGGTGGAGGCCTGGTCGAGGACCGGGCCGCGGGAACACTAAAAGCCCCGAAATCATCTCAAGATGATGTTGCTTCTGGAAACTTTCCTTATTAAGACTACTCACTCGCTCGGTCGATAGAGCTTCGGCCTCACACTCGTGGAGTCCGCAGTTCGAGTCTCCTAGAGCCCAGGTGGATGGAATAATAATATAGATGGTCCACTTAAGACACACTGTCTCTTATAAGCCTAATATATATAGCAGCCTAACGTGTATATATACACTGGCTGCCTGTCTCCCAGACACAATGAATTATCATTACCATCAGAAGGGTGAGTGTGCACTGCGTTAATTACAAACTATGCTGAAGAATTACCAGATCCAATATACAGGGTCGACTGAGTAGAAAGTACAGATAATATATCCTACTTCAACTTATCACCAATAATTAATTTGCATAAGTAAGTAATTATCAATAGAAGGCACCAAACCGGGAAGGCTATGTAGCACCATCAAATGTGCAGGATAATCAGAGGGCGCTAAATATCACCAAGAATGCCAATACGAGAACAGAAACGCGTAAGGCGAACGATATCAAAAGTATCCGAGTCACCGAGAATACTATCGAGGGACAAGCGACCGCGAGAGACGGTCTGAATGCAAGACACACGCTCGTCCTGGAAGTCAGGACATTCATCAAGGATATGCACGACTGTAAGAGGGACAATAAGGAGCAGGGCGGCGCTCCATTAAGTGTCCGGGAGTTAAACGTGTATGGCCAATACGCAACCTCGCCAGAGCCGTTTCCCATCGCCGGTTACGGTGGTAGGAGGAAGGCCACGAGGACACTACTCTTAAGAGTACGCAGTTTATTATCAGTAACAGAAGTCCAACAATCCTGTCAACGGGTAAGGATGGAGGAATGAATAACTGACTAAAAGTCAGAATAAGGAATACCTTTACGGGAGATGGGACAAGAGTGGACAGCTTCCCTGGCGGCAGCATCCGCACGCTCATTTAAAGACACACCAATATGGCTGGGAACCCAACAAAACTCAACTGACTTAAATTTACTGGAAATAAGAAACAGCCAATGTTGAATCTCGACAACCACAGGATGGACCGGATTAAAGGACCCGAGAGCCATGAGGGCACTGCGAGAGTCAACGACAACAACAAAGAATGATTGACAACGAGAAAGCAGGAGACGAAGAGCATAGAGAATAGCATAAAGCTCCGCTGTAAAGATGCTAGTCTCCGGAGGAAGGCGACACATATAAGTGCGATCAGGAAAAACAACAGAGTAGCCTACACCGTCCGCTGACTTAGACCCGTCGGTGAAGACGGAAACGGAGTGGGAGTGTGAAGAAAAGTGCTCAAGGAAAAGATGTTTCAGAACCGTAGGAGGGGTAAAAGCTTTAGGGATGCGAGTCAAGGATGTACAAAACTTCGGAAGGGGGACTCTCCACGGAGGTAAGGAAGGAACAATACGAGGAGAAATATTAGAAATACGTACTGAAAAAGAATCCTGTAAGTGAGATAACCGGACAGAAAGAGGGAGGTGGTGAAGAGGAACAGGAACCGCAGGAAGGGTAAAAGTTAAAGCACGACAGAGGCGAGAGGAAGGATGTTGTAAGGACCGCGCAAGATAGTGAAGACAGTAGCGATCACGGCGGTCCTGGAGAGACAGGAAGCCAGTGTCAACATACAAGCTAAGAACGGGAGTCGAACGAAAGACACCAGAACTGAGGCGCAACCCAGTATGGTGCAAAGCATCAAGACGGCGAAGAGTAGAAGGAGAAGCAGACGAGTAAGGAGGGCAACCATAATCGAGCTTAGACAGGACGAGAGAGGAATGTAAAGCAAGGAGAGTGCGCCTATCTGCCCCCCAAGAAGTATGGGACAAGACCCGAAGGAGGGTAAGGGCCTTAGAGCACTCAACACGGAGGTAAGAGATATGGGGAGACCAAGACAAACGAATGTCAAGGAATAACCCCAAAAGTTTAGCGGAATCCCTGTACACAAGGGAAGCGACAATGAGGGGTGAAGAACGACATGCTTCCGAGTTAAAGTCATAGCACAAGTCTTAGACGCAGAGAACTTGAAGCCATGATCGGTGGCCAAAGATGACACTGCATCAATTGCAAGTAGAAGCCGCCGCTGAACGAGAGGCGAATCATCACCCCAACAGCAAGGGGTAAGATCGTCGACGTAAAGAGCGGAGAAGACGCCAGAAAGAAGAGAGGAAAGAAGACCATTGAGGGCAACCAGAAAAAGAGTAGAGCTCAGAACATTACCCTGGGGTACACCCTCGTGTGTCAGTAGTAGGGGTCGAGGAAGAAAGCGAAGCCTTCTTACCCGCCAGGGAGGAGGAAGGAGATGAGCCAGGCTTACGCTTCTGACTCAAAGAGACAGGCGTCCCAGCAACAACGTACTGGGCAACAGACTCAAGCGTCTCAACAGGAGAAGAACGAGAGCAAACAACATGACCGCTGGGAGAGTCATGAACATCAGCCCGCACTGACAAGCGACTTGGAGAGCTAAGAGACGGAGGAGAAGGACGGGAAGGAGGATCGGAGGGAGACGAGAAAAAAGACACAGGAGACATGACAGACCGGGTAGAAAGAAGGGGAACCCCAGAGGACCAGGAGGGGGACCCTTCGGGACACAACATAAAGGAACAGAGGAGGGGGCGGTGGGCGTGTCTGGGGTCTAAGGCCCGGAAACGGTTGTGAGTCTGAGGAAGGAGGGAAGGACGAGGAGAGGAAGAGCGCAACACGCAAGCATAAGAGACGTTAGCATAAGGCGGGAGCCGGTGAACCTGGCGCCTCGCCTCAGAAAAAGACAAACGTTCCCGGTGCTTCAAGGTGAGGACGGCTGCCTCAAGCTTGTAATGGATACAGGCACGGGAGAAGGTAGGATGGGCCTCACCTCAATTGAGGCAGCGAACCCGGGGAGAAGTGCACTCCGACTTAGAGTGACCTTCTCCACCACACAAAGGACAGAGACAGTACTGGAGCATCGGAGGGCACCATGCCCAAACCTCCGGCACTTATTACAGAGCCGAGGAGAAGGAATGTACTCCTGGACAGAGCACCTGGCACCAGCAAGAATGACAGAGGGTGGAAGGGTCCTACCATCAAAGGTAATCTTCACAACCCGGAGGGGTTGACGGCGACTACCACGAGGGGGACGAGTAAACGTGTCCACCTGGAGAATAGAATGGCCCTGGGCTTCGAGGATATGCCGAATATCTTCATGGTAGTCCTGTAGATTCCTAACACCGAGTGCAACATGAGGCGGGAGGAGAACAGTGCCAACACTGGCATTTAACCGAGCGTTCTTGGAGACCCGAACAGGGGTCTCGCCAAGGCAGGATAAGGCAGCTAAGCGGGAAGCTGCATCCTGAGAAGGAGCAGCAACGACACGTGTACCGAGACGGGTGGGGTTGAAGGTAACACAGGCATCTACTGAATCAACAAGGTGCCTATGGAGGGAGAAATCGTCAGAAGGTGTAGAATCCAGAGGGAGATGATAAAAGTATTTGACCCACGAAACGGGACCAAACAAGGCTTGGTACGCATTAGTACGGGAAGGGATCGTGAGAGTGCGGCCGTGGCGGGGACGGTGTTGAGAACCCCCAGAGAGAGAAGAATTAAATGGCGCAGTAGTCACAATGAGAGACGGAGCCGTGCCAGGGGATGAGGTGGTCACCATTGGGGCTTGGGGCTCGACCCAACCACATAGGAGGGAGGGAGGGGAGCCGAGGGGTGTAGTCAGGAGGGTCAAAGGGCCACTGCAAACCACCTCAAGCCCATCATCACCCAGCAAAAATCCGCTATTAGAATAATAACAAACTCTGCTTACAGATAACACTCAGCCCCCTTGTTTAAATCCCTTACATGTTAAACATAAACTCACTCCACACATTCTCTTGTGTCAATTACATTTACAAAACCCTGTTCTTAAATGTAAACCTGCTCTGAAACTCTCCCTGGACAGATGTAATAGGACCCATTATCACCACACCAGAAATAAATATCTCTTTGATATCCCCAGAGTCAAGCTTAATCTGTGCATTTTTTTTTTTTTTTTGAGATATATACAAGAGTTGTTACATTCTTGTAGAGCCACTAGTACGCGTAGTGTTTCGGGCAGGTCCCTGGAATACGATCCCCGCCGCGAAGAATCGTTGTTACAACCAAGTACCCATTTTACTGTTGAGTAAAACAGAGGCTACAGTTAAGGATTTGCGCCCAGTAAATCCTCCCCGGCCAGGATACGAACCCATGACAAAGCGCTCGTGGAACGCCAAGCGAGTGTCTTACCACTACACCACGGAGACTGTGGAAAGGGACTCTATGCAAATAAAGGGACCTAGTTTATGAAACTCACTCCTTAATGAATTGAAAAGCTATCGAACCTTTGCCTCATTCAAAAACAAAAATAAAAAGTACCTAATTTCATCTTCATAGTGTCCTCCTACCTTGTGCTTTAACATTGCACTGTATCTAGTGCTACCCAATCCCCCAATCTTTATATACCTAATCCAAAAAAACTTTACCATTATGATCATTACTGTTTTTCTTATGTTTTTTTTGAGATATATACAAGAGTTGTTACATTCTTGTACAGCCACTAGTACGCGTAGCGTTTCGGGCAAGTCCTTAATCCTATGGTCCCTGGAATACGATCCCCTGCCGCGAAGAATCGTTTTTTCATCCAAGTACACATTTTACTGTTGCGTTAAACAGAGGCTACAGTTAAGGAATTGCGCCCAGTAAATCCTCCCCGGCCAGGATACGAACCCATGACATAGCGCTCGCGGAACGCCAGGCGAGTGTCTTACCACTACACCACGGAGACTGCCAATATGTGCTATCATTATGCTGTATTGTGCCTATTAATCTTTGTTAAATTACCAATCAAGCTGTCAATGTAATCAATCAGAGCTACCGATGTGCTTTAATATACCTACTAATCTCTCTCATCTCATTTTTTCTTGCAATGTATCTGTTATCACTTTATAAATTTTGCTAGAATTCGCCTACTTAAAATTATATGTTAGATTAAGGTCCTGCCCAAAATGCTGCGCGTACTAGTGGCTTTAGAAGAATGTTAACACCATGCTATGTATCCTCACAAACCCAATGTTCCTTCTTGTATACATATAAATAAATAAATAAATAAATAAATAAATAAATAAATAAGGAGGAGCAGGGTCGGGGCCCAACGCAGTGGGGGCTACAGAGCCCGGTCTTCCAACACAGTCTGACTCGGGGGCTTGGTCGTCCACCCCACGAGCCTGAGAAGGTACAAGAGGAACAGTACATAACATAAATACGAGAGGAAAGACATTCATATACGAATGTGCTCCCACACCCACCACGGAGCCACAATTAGAGGAGGATTGACAATAAAAGCGTCCCCTCGCTCGAGACGAAGGGTACCACAGTTCTACGGGTGCGAGAGTATGTCTCCTCAAACACCCGGGCATCAAAACAAAAGAAGGCTGAAAGAATAATCATAACAGACAAAAGGTCGGCGGGAAATGGCAATTAGAAAGGAGAAGAGGGGGGGGGGAGAAAAACGAAACATAGGAAAAGGAAAAGTCGTCCGGCAGAATTCGAGAGGACAGCAGCAGGAGCATAAGGCCACAAAAAGACAGAGGACTGTCCCATGGAGCATCACACTCCGGCAGCCGCCCACCAAGCCCACCTCACGACAACAATGGACCGGACAGGGAAGGGGTTAATTTGCATAAGTAAAACATTAATAGGAACGGTGTCAACACTTTAGCATAGCTTCATCACACTATGAAACTATCGGAGCTCCAGGAGCACTCGATATAAATTGACTAACCTGATTCCTGTGGTAAGATACTATGTACAGGAAATAAATACATATTTAGGGTACACAATAAATGTGTCAACCTCTTGCCAAGTCTCAGTAACTGACAATTGCAAACCAGTTTTCAATTCAATATAGCACTTTAGAGCTCACCAGCCAGCCAGGAGCAACACAATCTCCAACGTGACTTAGTAATAATTCTATAACAGAACATTCTCCAATACTTGGTAGTGCGATCTGTTTGTACTCAGTACACTACCTTTAAATGACAAAGGTAGAGGCGGCAACACTTATTTACCTGAATTTACCTGAGGGCCACTAACGGTGTAGTGGCTTCGGCGAAAACAGGAAGCGGGCGACTTGTCAAAGGTCCCCATTTGCCTTAATGATTTTTTTTCCAGTTGGATTTTAAAATGTAAAATTTTTGACATTTACGGTTTCGGCGGGTAGGCGGTTCCATGGGTTAATAACCGTGGGTGAAAAGACATCTCCTGTTCTCAGTGCGACATTGTGGCTTGTTGACCTTTAAACCGTTGCTCCTTGTTGTTGTGTTACATCTGACCTTTTGAAGATATTGTCTGGATCAACATCCTCCAAATTGTTCAGTATTTTAAAAGATTCAATGAGATCCTCCCTGTCATGTCTGGTTCGCAGTGTTGTTAGCCCTGTGGCCCTCAACCATTCCTGATACGTGAGTTGACTTAGGAATGGTTCTTGTTGCCCGGTGTTGCACCTTCTCCAGAGCAGCTATATCCTTCTGAAGATGAGGTCTCCACGCTGGGATACAGTAGTCCAAGTGGAGCACCAAAGGTTTATACAATTAAATCACCACTTTCTTTTCATTAAAGTCAAAGGTATGCTTGATTATTCCAAGGGTTTGGTTAGTTTTTTTTTTTTTACTGCCGCTCCCACTTGTGCAACTTTCAGTAAATGGTGGATTTTGACTCCAGGGTCCTTTTCTTGACCAATCTGCTGCAGGGTAGTTAGTGTTGCTGATGTTTGGTGGAGCCTCCAGAGGTAACTGGTTTGTGCTCGCCTCTCACCACACACCGATAACCAAGTGTCCATATGCTCGTATCCATCACTCTTAAATTCCATAAATGATATCTACACAATAGATAACTCAGAACTGGAAACTCTTATGCAAATTAAAACACAACTATAGATTACATTAGTCGCTTCACAATCCTAATCCCTCTAAATAGGCTTAGACATTCAGTTGCATACTCTTTATCTCCCATTAATCGCTATATTCTCATATGCATATGATCATCAATAACAATTCAATACAAGTTATAACACTTTCATATACTAATTAGAGTTATGGCTAGCATAGTCCATCATACCTACCCATGCTCAGACTTCCTCCCGCTCCATCACACACACACACCCATGTACACACAGAAATCACAGTAGCCTGATACATCAAATGAACAAATCCACAAGGGCCGTGATGAGGGTTCGAAACTACGTTCGGGATGATCCCAGACGCGCCTTAGTCGACTGTGCAATTAGATGGTAAAATAATTACAACCAGGAGTGCTACTGTCCTCACACGGATGCTGCAGCCTCTCCGAGACACACACCCGGGGCTGCGGGATCCGTGTGAGGGCAGTAATACTCCCGGTTGCAATTATTTTACCATGTGGGGGCGCCGACGACTGAGACGCGTCTGAGATTATCTCGGACGTAGGTTCGAACCCTCATCACGGCCCTTCTGGATTTGTTTACACCTACCCATGCTCTAGACCTCCTCCCGCTCCATCACATACCCCAGGTATGTACCAATAATCAATCTTTGCCTTAAAAGACACTAGACTTGCATACATTATAGACGGCGGCCTTCGTCAGAATAGACTTCGACAGGGTACAAACGTCAACATGCTAACCGGTTCCCTCTCTCTCTTTAGGTACGACGTCCAGGACGACAGCACTTACAGCAACTTCGGTCACTACGAGACCCGGGAAGGGGAGACCACAGGAGGAGAGTACTACGTGTACCTCCCAGACGGCCGCAAGCAACTAGTCAACTATGTGGTAGATGGTGCATCCGGGTATGTGGCCAGGGTCAGGTATGAGGGAGAGTCTGGCGGGTACAGCTACAGCCCCGTCACCTATGGTACCTTCAAGACAGGGTCCGCGGCCGCTTCTTCCGGAGCTGCAGCTGGCCTTGTTGCTTCACCACGAGATGACTTTGAAGCTGGATCAGAAGCTGGCTTTGGCTTCAGTGCTGAAAAAGGATCAGGAACCGACTTCAGTGCTGGAAGAGGATCAGGAGCTGGCTTCAGTGAAGAAGTATCAGGGGCTGGCTTCGGTGGAGGAGCATCAGGAGCTGGCTTCAGTGGAGGAGCATCAGGAGCTGGCTTCGGTGGAGGAGCATCAGGAGCTGGCTTCGGTGGAGGAGCATCAGGAGCTGGCTTCGGTGGAGGAGCATCAGGAGCTGGCTTCGGTGGAGGAGCATCAGGAGCTGGCTTCGGTGGAGGAGCATCAGGAGCTGGCTTCGGTGGAGGAGCATCAGGAGCTGGCTTCGGTGGAGGAAAATCAAAGGCAAGCTTCGGTGGAGCATCAGGGGCTGGCTTCGGTGGAGCATCAGGAGCTGGCTTCGGTAGAGGAGCCTCAGCAGCTGCCTTCAGCAGTAGAGCATCAAAAGCTGGCTTCGGTGGAGGAGCATCAGGAGCTGGCTTCGGTGCAGAAAAAGGAGCTACCTCTGGAGTCAGTGCTGGATCAGGCTTCAGTACGGGAGCAGGCGGTGAAACTGGATTCAGTTCAGGATCGGGAGCTGGGTTCGGTGCTGGGTCAGGCTCAGGAACTGATTTTAAGACTGGATCAGGAACTGGCTTTAAGACTGGATCAGGAACTGGCTTTAAGACTGGATCAGGAGCTGGCTTCAGTGCTGGATCAGGAAGTGGCTTTAAGACTGGATCAGGTTCTGGCTTCGGTGCTGGATCTGGATCAGGAGCTGGCTTTGGTACTGGATCAGGAGCAGGCTTCAGTTCAGGATCAGGAGCTGGATTAGGTTCTGACTTCAGTTCTAAATCGGAATCAGGAGCAGACTTCAAGACTGTAACAGGATCAGGAGCTGGCTTCACTGCTGGATCAGGGGCCGACTTTGGTGCAGTAACAGCATCAGGAGCTGGGTTTGGTGCAGAAAAAGGAGGCACCTCTGCATTCAGTACAGCAGCAGGTGGGGAAACTGGCTTTGGTGGAGCAGGATCAGGAGCAGGCTTTGGTAAAACAGAATCAGGATCAGGCTTTGGTAAAACAGAATCAGGATCAGGCTTTGGTGGAGCAGGATCAGGAGCTGGCTTTGGTGTAGCAGGAACTGGCTTTGGTGGTGCAGGATCAGGAGCTGGCTTTGGTGTAGCAGGAGCAGGAACTGGCTTTGGTGGTGCAGGATCAGGAGCTGGCTTTGGTGGAGCAGGAGCTGGCTTTGGTAAAACAGAATCAGGAGCTGGCTTTGGTGGAGCAGGAGCTGGCTTTGGTAAAACAGAATCAGGAGCTGGCTTTGGTGGATCAGGAGCTGGCTTTGGTGGAGCAGGATCAGGAGCTGGCTTTGGTAAAACAGAAACAGCTGGCTTTGGTGGAGCAGAATCTGGAGCTGGCTTTGGTAAAACAGAATCAGCTGGTTTTGGTGGAGCAGGAACTGGCTTTGGTGGAGCAGGAGCTGGCTTTGGTGGAGCAGGAGCTGGCTTTGGTGGATCAGGAGCTGGCTTTGGTGGAGCAGGATCAGGAGCTGGCTTTGGTGGAACAGGATCAGCTGGCTTTGGTAAAACAGAATCAGCTGGCTTTGGTAAAACAGAATCAGCTGGCTTTGGTGGAGCAGGATCTGGAGCTGGCTTTGGTGGAGCAGGAGCAGCTGGCTTTGGTAAAACAGAATCAGCTGGCTTTGGTGGAGCAGGATCAGGAGCTGGCTTTGGTAAAATAGAATCAGCTGGCTTTGGTAAAATAGAATCAGCTGGCTTTGGTGGAGCAGGAGCAGGAGCAGGCTTTGGAGCAGGAGTTGGCTTTGGTGGAGCAGGAGCAGGAGCTGGCTTTGGTGGAGCAGGAGCTGGCTTTGGTGGAGCAGGAGCAGGAGCTGGCTTTGGTGGAGCAGGAGCTGGCTTTGGTGGAGCAGGAGCAGGAGCTGGCTTTGGTGGAGCAGGAGCTGGCTTTGGTGGAGCAGGAGCTGGCTTTGGTGGAGCAGGAACTGGCTTTGGTGGAGCAGGAGCTGGCTTTGGTAAAACAGAATCAGCTGGCTTTGGTGGAGCAGGAGCTGGAGTTGGCTTTGGTGGAGCAGGAGCTGGCTTTGGTAAAACAGAATCAGCTGGCTTTGGTGGAGCAGGAGCTGGCTTTGGTAAACCAGAATCAGCTGGCTTTGGTAAAACGGAATCAGCTGGCTTTGGTGGAGCAGGAGCCGACTTTGGTGGAGCAGAATCAGGAGCTGGCTTTGGTGGAGCAGAATCAGGAGCTGGCTTTGGTGGAGCAGGAGCAGGAGCTGGCTTTGATGGAGCAGGATCAGGAGCTGGCTTTGGTGGAGCAGAATCAGGAACTGGCTTTGATGGAGCAGAATCAGGAGCTGGCTTTGGTGGAGCAGAATCAGGAGCTGGCTTTGGAGGAGCAGGAGCTGGCTTTGGTAAAACAGAATTTGGTGGAGCAGGATCTGGAGCTGGCTTTGGTGGTGCAGGATCTGGAGCTGGCTTTGGTAAAACAGATTCAGCTGGCTTTGATGGAGCAGGATCTGAAGCTGGCTTTGGTAAAACTGAATCAGGAGCTGGCTTTGGTGGCACAGGAACTGGCTTTGGTGAAGCAGGAGCTGGCTTTGGTGGAGCAGGATCAGGAGCTGGCTTTGATGGAGCAGGATCTGGAGCTGGCTTTGGTGAAGCAGGAGCTGGCTTTGGTGTAGCAGGATCTGGAGCTGGCTTTGGTAAAACAGAATCAGATGGCGGCTTTGGTGGAGCAGGATCAGGAGCTGGCTTTGGTGGGGTGTTATACTCAAATTCTGTCAGTTGAAATGTAACCAATCACAGGCAAGTAGGCCTCTGACGTCATGCCAGACAGAGGAGCATCAAGCATGCTCCCAGCAGCCTCAGTTATCCTCACAGACCCAGAGTAGGTGGACCTCGGCTGGCCAGTTATACACCTGTTTGCCTCACTCAATAAATATATACAGAAGCGACTACTGTGTCTACATTCAACCCGAACAAGGCAAACGAATAGGAGCAGGATCAGGAGCTGGCTTTGGTGGAGCAGGATCAGGAGCTGGCTTTGGTAAAACAGAATCAGATGGTGGCTTTGGTGGAGCAGGATCAGGAGCTGGCTTTGGTGGAGCAGGATCAGGAGCTGGCTTTGGTGGAGCAGGATCAGCTGGCATTGGTGAAGCAGGATCTGGAGCTGGCTTTGGTAAAACAGAATCAGGAGCTGGCTTTGGTGGAGCAGGAGCTGGCTTTGGTGAAGCAGGATCTGGAGCTGGCGTTGGTAAAACAGAATCAGGAGCCGACTTTGGTGGAGCAGGATCAGGAGCTGGCTTTGGTGGAGCAGGATCAGGTAGCGGCTTTGGTGAAGGATTTACCTCGGGCCTCACTGCTGGAGGCGGCTCTGAAGGCGGTGGTAGTGGAGGCATCGACGCTCAAGCTCTAACACGCGGACAGAGTGAAAATACACTTGAAGAAGGCTTCGAGTCTGAAGGCATAAAAGAGAATGTATTAGGTCAATTTGGTGGGGCTGAAGCCAGCGGGTTTAATGCTGAACATGTAGCTGGTACTGACGGCTTTACAGCTGGCCAAGCAGGAGCTGGAAGTCATTTTGAAGTAAGCCAGGAAGTTAGTGATGAAGGCTTTGATAGTCACACAAAGGACAGTGGTGAATCTGATGAGAAAGGAAGCAGTAATGGCTTTGACACCTCAGAAGGCAGCGATGACTTTGGTGCTGGTCACTCAGGAGGCAGCGATGGCTTTGGTGCCGGTCACTCAGGAGGCAGCGATGGCTTTGGTGCCGGTCACTCAGGAGGCAGCGATGGCTTTGGTGCCGGTCACTCAGGAGGCAGCGATGGCTTTGGTGCCGGTCACTCAGGAGGCAGCGATGGCTTTGGTGCCGGTCACTCAGGAGGCAGCGATGGCTTTGGTGCCGGTCACTCTGGAGGCAGCGATGGCTTTGGTGCCGGTCACTCTGGAGGCAGCGATGGCTTTGGTGCCGGTCACTCAGGAGATGGCTTCAGTGCAGGTCAAACTGGAGGTAGCTTCAGTGCAGGTCAAACTGGAGGTAGCTTCAGTGTAGGTCAAACTGGAGGTGGCTTCAGTGTAGGTCAAACTGGAGGTGGCTTCAGTGCAGGTCAAACTGGAGGTAGCTTCAGTGCAGGTCAAACTGGAGGTAGCTTCAGTGCAGGTCAAACTGGAGGTAGCTTCAGTGCAGATCAAACTGGAGGTAGCTTCAGTGCAGGTCAAACTGGAGGTAGCTTCAGTGCAGGTCAAACTGGAGGTAGCTTCAGTGCAGGTCAAACTGGAGGTAGCTTCAGTGCAGGTCAAACTGGAAGTGGAGGCAGCTTTGGAGTTAGTCATACGGGTGGAAGTGGCATTACTGTAAGCCACACAGGTGGCAGTGGCGGATTTAGTACACAACAAACAGGTGGTGCCAGCTTTACCACTGTAAGACCAATTGTTAGTACTACAATCAGTAAACCAATACTCGACTCGGCTGCACTCGGCTCTGGCGGCAAGTTCGCGTCGGGAAGAGGGTCTGTTAGAGTCACCAGTCCTGCTCCTGTAGCCAGTTCTTTCATCTCGACTCCTGCTCCTGTAATTAATATTGGAAGTCACTCTGCCCAAACAGGTTTCAGTGGTGGACAGTCAGTAGTTGGAATACCAGCTGGACAAATAGGCATTCTTGGCTTCGCCGGACGAAGTGCAGGTGTGGGTGGATTTAGCGGACAGCCAATAAAGGGGGGTTTCACCATTAAGTCAGGTTCTGGCAGTATTACACCAAGGGGAGCATCTGTTGGTGTTGTAAACTCTTTTCCTGTTACCAATACTTTTATTTCAACTCCAGCACCCAATACCATTGTTAGTCCAACAGGTAAAGCGGGATTTGGACATTCTCTAGGTAGTTTTATCGGCAGTACAACTGTAAGCAGTAGTTCAGGAAGTAGCAGCTTTTCTACCCTGAGGCCAAATCTAAACTCATTTGGGGTGACCTCTGGCACTGAGTTTGCTTCTGGCGGAGGTTCTGGCACTGGGTTTGCATCAGGTGCAGGCTCTGGTATTATAAGAGTTACTCCTGTAGCTCTCTTCTCAACCCCCGCTCCTGTGATTAATGCAGCACAACACTCAACCAAAACAGGGTTCAGTGGTAGACAAATTGGTGCAGGTGGATTTCATAAACAACTTGGTGGTAAGTCAGCTGGTGTGAACGAACATGCTGTTCAAGAAGCTAGAGGAGGTTTAATAAGTGCCGGTCAAATATCGAGTAATTCTCTATCAATTGGAGGTGGAAGAGCATTCAGTGGAAGTCAAGGATCAGGTAACATTTTTTCAAGTGGTGGAGGCGGTTCAGCTTCTGGAATTGTAAGCGTCAATCCTGTCACAAGTGCTCTGGTTTCTACAGGACCAACAGTCACATTTGGAAGCCAGATAGGATTTGGTGGTGGACACATTGCAAGCAATGGATTTAGCAGTGGACAAATTGCAAGCAGTGGATTTGGTGGTCAATCCGCCAATTTCAATATTGGAAAGAGCAGTCGGAGATCTTTAGGTGGCAATATCCACGTAAACCAGGGCCAACCCATCGTTGCTGCCACAGTGAGAACGGTGGATGCTTCACCGGCCAATGTACTAAATACCCTCGTTAATGCTTCAAGGAATAAGGTCCAGATTGCACCTGCAAGTCAAGTGATTGCTCTCGGATCTCTTTCTGGAACTGCTAAAAACAAGGTTTAAAACGATCATTTTAGGAGCTAGTGATGCTCGGTTACTTATTAAGTTTGTTACAATGTTCCACATACTCCCACAACTAATGTGCAGCTCCTTAAATGAATCAGCCTTTTTACAGAGTAATACTGGGTAAAAAGTTATGTCTAGTCAAACATTTGCTGTGATTCAGGTTTCTTCGTGTGTCTCCTCACCTGGACACAAATATCTTAATGGAGTCTGAATACAATAAAGTTTATCAAACACTCTTCACTAAATTCTTGACCAGAGTTACAGCTGCCAGTCATAAAGCTAATCCTTATTCTGGGTGCTGCTAACCTATATTGGGACCCGTGGATAAACTAGTACAGGGTATGTTTAGTCGTCAGAATAAAAAAAGAGCTCAAAAGTCTGCTTGAGCACAGCCTTAGGAGAGATTGGTATGTGGCATGTACATAGTCTTACGTATATTACTTACTCTATAGTTTCAATACTTTACATTTCACACACATATATTTTTACATGTTACAAATTTTTTGTTTTGCCATGTGTTGAAAAAATATATTTTGTTAAAGGTAAATAAAAGAAAACTTTTGCAATCTTTTTATTTACCAAAAAAAAAATAAAAAAAATTGTCCCACACCTACAATAAGGATTATAAAATAAAGAATTATCATGGGTAAGTGGGGAGGAGCTCCCCCTTCTATAAAAAAGTAAAAAGAACCAGTTTCCCCATTCTTATGGAACACTTTCATGCTAAACACTTGACCACTTTACGGGACCAAGTACTACAACAGGGAAATACCAGAAAAATTCATATCGAGCAAGCTAGTGCATCCTATACAAAATGAATGGACATTTTATCCTCACACTTTCACTGCAAAATGCTCATCAAAATTAAACTCAAAATTGTGTGCTTATTCTCAAAACACACTAATAAAAGTACCTTGACACAATTCAACAATTTGTATCCAGTATTAATTTCTTCACAACAAAACTGCAATAATTAATGTGACCAATAGCTGGAGACTGGATATGCACCCATAATTTAAAAATCTAAAATAAAAATATTAGGAAAAGAGCACTGTCCTAGCTTGGTGGCTAGAGGTCAAGCAAGGCCCCAGAAACTTAACTGTCACTCCAACAAGGATGGTCACAAGACAGGAGCAATGGTTTTGTACTAGAAGATCAATGAAGCATTTGTAGCGGCAGTATTAAGTTGGAGGGCCGATGCTGCTCTCGGATCCTGTTGGAAAAAGCTATAAAATTGTTGCTGTGAGAGCTCGTGGGCTTGACAGGAGCCACTGTAAACAGAGGCGCTTGGCGATATGGCAAATGCTCAGCTTGGGAGGCGCCTCATTACTTGGTTGACAACTTGGATGGCTCCCATTGTAGCTGGCACCAAAGATGGAACTTTGGCAGTGCTGAAAAGAAAAGACAACCAAATCAATAATGGGTTCAGGACTAGCTGGAATCTTCCTGTAGAAGCTTCCCCCCCCCCCTCCCTCCCTCCTCGAACACACACACACACACACACGCACACGCACACGCACGCACACACACACACACACACACACACACACACACACACACACACACACACACACACACACACACACACACACACAGGTGATATGATCACTACATACAAAATAGTAACAGGAATTGATAAAATCGACAGGGAAGACTTCCTGAGACCTGGAATTTCAAGAACAAGAGGTCATAGATTTAAACTAGCTAAACACAGATGCCGAAGAAATATAAGAAAATTCACCTTCGCAAATAGAGTGGTAGACGGTTGGAACAAGTTAAGTGAGAAGGTGGTGGAGGCCAAGACCGTCAGTAGTTTCAAAGCGTTATATGACAAAGAGTGCTGGGAAGACGGGATAAACTCAAGAGTTGACTTAAGCTCCTTTTTTTACACCACGAGCGTAGCTCTCATCCTGTAACTACACTTAGGTAATTACACTTAGGTAATTACATTCCTGCAAGCTCAACTAATATGCCAGGTTTGACCAATCATGGCAGTCACTGATCCCAAATGTCAGCTCTCTGCAGTGAAGTTAGAATTTAATACCAAGGGAAGTGTGGTTCAAATTGAAGTGCTATACAAATTAAAAGATCAAAGATATATTTTATTTAAATTGTAGTAAAGCAGGCTAAGACAAAATAAACCAATGTCCATTACTCTCTCAGTCCATCAGCATACAGTCTGAAGAAATGAAAGTTAATTTTTAAGATAAATAAGTGTTGCACATAGCAGCTTTGAGTTTTCCCAGTGGCAGATGTCCATGGTATTAAGTACAATATGCACAAGCAGGCAATGAGGCACAATAAAGTGGCTAAAGTATGTTGACTTGTATCACAATCGACTTGAGAATGGTCCAGGACAGACCGAAACGTCGTCGTCCCTTCACCTTCTAGTGTGTGGTCCGGTCAACACTATATGCACAAGCTTCTGCACTCTGCTGGCTGTATTGTTAGCAAATGAGCAACTCTTTGAAGACCTGCTGGATGACTGCAGTATTGCACTCATACACACACAAAAAAAAAAGAGAACTGATGAACATCTTAATTCAGTTCCCTACAAATGTCAAGAATCACAAGTTGGAAAAGTAGGTTGAGGTTTCCAGAACACCACTAGACTGGATAAGCAATAATTTGACTGACAAAACGTATAGTGAGAGAAAGTATCAGCAGATGCAGGTGGCAAACAGGATCCTAAAGTGTTTAGTACTGTGAACCTTAATTTTCATGACTTGCAAGAGATAGACACAAACGTAACAATGCTTGCAAACTACAAAATTGATTAAGACTACTGTAATTAAATTAGCAAAAATCTTACAAATGGCTGTGAGAGGAGTAGAATAATGGTATGCAGGCAGCTGCAGTAACTATAAAAAAAAAAAAAACTGGCAGTGGACATAACACCACACATTAGAAGACAAGACTCCAGAGGCAATATGATCACAATGTACAAAATACTGAGGAATGGACAGTGGATGGAGTCTTTCCAAGGGGTAAGCTTGAACCTATGCACCAGAGAAATATTTTAAGAAATATTCACACGAAGTGAGAGTGAAATGAACCAGAGCCAAAAGTCATTGAAGCAGCCATTATCCACCGTTTTAAAAGCATGTATGACTGCATTAACTAGATTTACAGAGATGAACACAGAGATTACATTGCATGTAACCAGTAGGCATGGCAAGATGTGCAAAATATTCCCATTGAAAAGAAGAGGTGCAATAGGTATGCTGAGGAAGAACTATCAACATCAAGGGGCCCCAAGACGTTTCTACTCTCCCCCGCTATACTTAAGCAGCATAACTGGCTGGCCTCTCACAATGTTCTCTCAAAGAGAGAACTTGACAAACACCTCCAAAGAATACCTGAACAACCAGACTATGATTCATATGTCACGCTGGGAGCAGCTGCGTCCAACAGCCTGGTTGACAAGGCAACCAACCGGGAGGCCTTTGTCGGAGACCGGGCTGCTGGGCCGTTAATCCCCAGAATCTCCACAAGGTAGGTGCTGGACCACCTTTCCTCCTCTCTAGACATAACCAGGCAAGCACAACTGAAGTATATGCTCTACTAGGATCTTTGGACCTTAATCCTTTCATTGCATCATTGCACTTTCCACAAAATCGGAGAAATGTGCATGGCCAAGGCGTCTTCACCCGAAAGTGATGAATGTGAATTCAGTATGGAAATGTCTGTTCAATGTTGGAGGCCAGATAGGTTCAGAGGGTGAAGAGGAAAATGGAGACTGGTCATACAAAATTTTAAGTTTAAAAAAATTACATTGGCCCAATTGTGTGGTTAAGGGGCCAGATTTTCTGTTACTTAATGCGTATGTATATTTATCACAGGTCGGCTATCCTAATTAGAGATGTGATCTGTTTCTGCTGCCAGTGACTTTACCGATGATAATTGTAATGTACCACAATTCCTCTCAAAGTATCATCCAAAAACTTTAAATTATGTTAAAGAGTAAAGAGGCTTGGCACTCTTAAGCCATAATAAAGCAAGATACGTTCATGCAGGCAGGGTTGGTAAGTTCTATTTTTTTCGACGATGCATGGTATCACTGGCAGTTGGTGCATCAGCCAGCCAGATAAAAGTCAATTTCACTTTATTTAGCCCTCCACTAGCATTCCCTGCTATCTGCCTGTGTACCAGTCTGTTGACCTGGCCGAAAGCTTATGTTTAGGAAGGTTCTCGTGACACAATTAAGCAAGTGTGGATCAATTGAAGCACAGCACAATGAATGCTGTTAGGAAGAAACTATGGAAGTAGTGTAAATGATTTCACAAGATTTGTGAAAAAGGGTCATCCATAATCCCACCACAAATTACCAAACAAGTCATTGCTAGAGGAGATAATATCAATGGCATTTGTTTTTGTTTCAACAGTATTAGTGAGGAATTTTTGTTTAATTGCATGCATCTGGAATGCATACATCCCTATTTTTCCCACCTATTTTCAGTTAATCTTAACACTTTCGCACTCCAATGTCACAAACGCCGTCATCCATTTTTCTCCCTATTGTCAGTGGATGACTATCGCTCGCATCATCCACTAAAATATTTGTAAAAAAATCAATTTTCATCCAATCAACTTCTTGGTAGTTTCAAAATGAGCGTCATTAGATTGCGCACAATTTGCGTAACCCGAAAATTAATGTCAGAACAGTGGAAAGATATAAATAACTTTGTGATGAGCGTCAAAAGTGTCCAAAAGTTAAAATATTTGTTAAAATTCTATTTATTGTTCTATTATTATGGGACTAGTTTTAAAACACGCACCTTTTTATTGCAAACAATTTGATACCCAAATGAAGGGCGTGACAAAAAAATTGATGTCAGAAAGATAATAAATGTCAGAAAGAAAATACTTTTGTGGTCCAAATTTTAAAATATTTGCTAAAATTCCAGTTATTTTTCTATTACTATGGGACTAGTTTTAAAATGAGCGCCTTTATATTGCAAACAATTTGATACCAAAATGAAAGACGAAACACGAAATTTGGAGTCAGAACACTGTAAATATATAAATAATTTTGTGGTGATGAGCGTCCAAAATTTTAAATATTTGTTAAAATTCAATTTATTGTTCTATTATTATGGGACTAGTTTTAAAATATGTGCCTTTTTATTGTGAACAATTTGATACCAAAATGAAGGACGTAGTACGAAAATTAACGTGAGAAAACTGAAACGAGTCTACACTTTTTGGTGTCGCCGCAAAATCGCCCGCACTGCTCGGCGCATGACGTCATTTCTGTGGCGCGCGGTGCCGGGAGTGCGATAGTATTAAGTATTAAGCAGATTGGTTACACATTTGAGAATACTTTGTCATATGTATCAGAAAAAAATTAGGCCCTAGGTCAGGTTTATTATTAGGTTGGTGTTCAAGGATCCAGTAGCACCTCTCAGGTACAAGATCTACCTGCTCAAAGTAGTATGTTTGCAAGTCAAAAGCAGAAATTGGCAACAAGAAACAAGACATTAGACAAGCAAATAAGAAAGAACTGGTTACCGACAGTAAGTTAGCATTAAACACTGCAGATACAACAAACAGTCCATAATAATTTGTGGGTGTATAGTGACATTTAATGGAGTACAACAAATGACAGAAGTGCTTAGGAATTCAAGGAAATTGCAAAATGAACAGGATGAGAAATTACAGTCATTAAAACAAGTCTTCAAAGGAAGAGAAACAAAAACTATAACCTAGATGAAGGAAAACATCTGGAAGAAACTAGGAATGAATAATTTTATCTTTTTACAAGGTGATAGGAATTGTAAAAACAAACTAACAATCATTAGAGAAAGGTGAGAGTAAAGATAGGGTGGGAAACATTTTCTTCAAAAACGTATATACTAACATAGATGAAGAGAACAAATACTGAAACCAAACAATATAATTCAGCTTAAAAGGCCAGATAGAGAAAATCAGGAGCAATGAGGATTCAAACCTGCACATTTGGTACTCCCAAGAACCCTAAACCACTACAAAGAACCCATAAGTATGCAGGTTCAAATCATCCTCATGGCTCCTAATCAGTCATTGATACATCATGTTAATATGATTTTATTGTACATGCCAGATATTGTCGCACCAACAGAGATGAAACTTCAAGATAGTATTGTAATTATGGTTCTTGAGGGAGTACTCAATTTGCAGGTGGGACAAAAATTAGAAAAGGTGGAGTTACCGTGCTGGCAAAAGGACACCTAAAGATTAACTGTTAATCATCAACTACCCACCAGACCCACTACACTGCAGGTTTGTTATCAGGAGGACGATAAAAAATGTCTATAGTCTACCAGCAAGCAACACACACAGACAAAGGAGGAGCTGCATAACAAATGAGACTTCAAAACAAGTGAAGATAATTCGTGACTGTTAGGACTCG